GCTGCAGCTGGTGAAGGTCTGATGTCTCTTCAGTATTGTGTGCAAATATGGTGCAAGCTGTTACAGCTGAGTACATTTCTCATCTGCATTTCCTGACAGTAAACAGAAGTGACTTATTGAGACAATTAGAGTGGGATGTGATTCAATGTGACTGAATGCCACATTGCAGAGATCACTTGCTAATGACAGGGAGGTGGGATAAGAAAAGAGAAGAATCTGAGAAGTATTTTCCCCAGAGTGAAAGAACTGCTCCCCTCCCCTCACGAGGAACTCAGGGCCAGCTGTTTGCAGTCTTTACATTGACCCTCCTCTCCCTCTTTATCAGCAAAGGCACAAGGAACGAGAAGCACCTTCTGGTCCTTGTCCTTCACATGCCCAGTGGTTTGCAGGAGATGTGGGTTCAGTTCCTTGTTCTCTATCTTTTCTGTAAGACTCTTGACAACATCTCTCCTTTCAAAGGCCTGCCTGTTAAACAGGACGAAGGCAAAGGGTGATTGCTCTCTGCCTCAGTTCCTCCTTTCCCTGTGCTCTTTAGGATTACCAAAGTGTTTTACTGTCCATGCTCCCAGCACAGTTTGGACGTTTCACCTGAGGAGCAGTGACTGCAGAAGAGATGGAAAGACCAGTGGCCAGGGCTCATGTCTCAGACAAGTGCTGTAATCGTTAGGCACCTTGTCAGGCTTGTCCTTCTGGCTCCTCAACACTTGTATTTTTGGCTGCCCCATGGCTTATAGTACATAGACGTGACTCGGATGCACTCCTGAAGCCTGAAAGCTCTGGGGTTACAGCTTTTAGGATGATGGGGAGATCAAATTTGTGTCCTTCTCCCTACTGCAGGAATGGTTCTCGCACAAGTGGCCATCCCCTCTGCACACACACTTGGGACTAAAATCCTGGCACTGTGTTGTGCCTGAGGACACCTTGTGGAGAGCGATCAGGTCAACCCGAGTTGTGCAGGGACCACTTGAAGGAAGAAACTAACCTCTGGGGCATGGGGTTTTTAGTCATGCTCTTTTTGATCATGCAGAGGCACAGGTGAGGCTCTGCGCCCTCTTAGCATGGTTTTATGGGTCACTGGTTTGGACTTGGGTATTTGCAGTCTGGTTACAGGCACACCAATGTGAATCACGGCTGTTGTTTTCCTTTGAGAGGTGTTCCTCGTCCTTCTGCGTGAAGAGATGAGCTTGCAAGTGTAACAGCAAGCTCCTTGAAAGCCATGAAGAGAGAAATCCAAAAGAGACACCCAAAAGATACATGTTGTTTGCTCAGAAACCTCAAGGCTGTCAAAACTGGCCTCCTACATTCTGCAGGTCTGGCTCATACCTGCCTGCTAATGCCAGGGGTGAAGCAAAAGGGCACTGGGCTGAGAACTGGCAAGGGGGGAGCACAAGGGCAGTGTCCAGTGATGAAAACTGAAAAGAGGATTAAAAAGAAAGTTCTCAACATCTCCCTGAGACTAGCTCAGACAGGGGTAATTTCACCGGCTCCAGGGAATGCTGCTCTATGTCCATGTCAGTGGGGAGCCTTTGGCTGTGTCACAGTCCAAGCGGCACACGCAGCAGCCAGGGAGGCTGACCAGGATGTAACCTGTTTGGCTCGATGTCTGGAGGCCAGGAAGGACACAAGCTTCGTTGTGTTGTGCTTCATGTTTTGGGCTTTACACAAACCACCTCTTCAGCAGACATAAACACACAGGAGAAAGTAGATGCAAACTTTCCAGAGTCTCTTCTGCTTGTGGTTACCTCCCCACTGTGGCGTGATGGGGAAGGAACAGGGAGGTTGCAGGGATACGTGATTGATGGGTACTTGCTGTAAGTGTTCCTCTGCTGTGAAACGTCTCTGTCCTCCAGTTATTTCTGATTTCTCCTTGCTGATAGCTCAGCTGAGCACACAGTTAGTTTGGGACTGTTAATACAGTACGCTCACTGTCTGGGAGCAGCTGATAATGTACTCATGCTGGGTTAAGATTTTCCAGAAAAGAGATAACATTTGCAGATGGCTTGGGTCGACTCCTTTGGCTTCAGTTTATTTAATGATAGATGAAAGCAGTACACACATGATCAAGCTATGGAAAGCTTTAAAAAGTATCCTCCCTTACCCTGCTTTTTTAATAGTTCCTGCATTGACAGTTTCTCTCCTTGTCTCTTGCATGACTACAGTAGACACCGATCTTGTTCTTCAGCCTTCCTTGTACCTTTTCTGCATTGAGGAGCTCTGTGCCCTCTATCATCCTCTTCTCAGCATACCCCAAAGAGATTAAGGCAGCCCTCCCAGACACAGGTTTTCAGTCTTTTTTTCCTCCCACACAGCTCTCTTTTCCAGTGGATTCACTGTGCCAGGTAACGGTTTCCAAAGAATCCATTCTAAATTTCCAATATTTAACATCAGATTTTCTAGCCTTGGAAACACTAGGTCTTTGCCAACCCAAAGTTCAGCGATTGATTGCACAAGCAGACTAGCTCGCCATTCTGAAGGGACAATAACTCTTACGAGCCAAGCAGTGGTGAGCAGCTGGCAGGTGATGAGGAACAACAGAATGATCCTTCCACTTCCATAATGAGAAGAGACGGGGAGTGGAGGAGAATCACCTACTATGGACCATCTGCGTGGCACACATCTGCATCTGAGATGCTCAGCCTGGACTTCCTTTCTGGTCAAGGGTCCACTGTAGCCATGGATTAAGGGTATGATTTATCCCACCCTAAAGTTTTTGTCAAACTAGGACAGAACATTTGTGTTCCCAAAGGTTCTTTTTTTTTTCCCCCCATTGGCTATAAAAGGAACCTAACTAAACTTTAGACTTTTTGACTGAACTGAATCCGTCCAAACACAATATCATCCTTTACATTAAAGGTGTAGTTCTACCTAAGGCAAAATCACTTTGCCCAATGTCCTAGTTACTGGACAAAATCACCAGCAAGGCAGCCCAGCTGCAAGGGAGTTGCAGCCCTTTTCTTTCAAGGATGGTTTTAGTGCTCAAAACCATAAACTTTCACTCTGTGGTAAGTCGGACAAATAATGTAATTCCACAGCAGCCTATCCCAACCCAACCTTCTCCTCCCCTCCTCTCTGACTGATTGACTGTTGGCCTTTATGAAGTGATAATAAAAGACCACACAAAGATAATTGCTTATAATTGTCAGGGAGGAGCTTTGGCAGCTCCAGGAAGGTCCTCACGGTATGCTCTTGTATAGGAACCAAACCAGCAAAGTGCTGTGGAAGACGTTTGACCACCTCAACACATGTTGGGAATTTAAAGCAAATGTCAAGTGTTGGTTTTGGAAGGTCATTGAGTTTTGCAGACTGAAGTTTTGGGTGTTGTGCTTTTTGGTTTTTTTTTTTTGGGGGGGGGTTGTTGTGTTGTTTTGTTTCCTCCAGCAGCTGAGCATTATCATGACTGCCTTGGGAAAAAAGGAAAGTTTTCAAACTCTTATGAGCATCTGATGAATTTTGGTTTATCCCGGGGCAGCCATGCTAAAACTGTGCAGCGTGGGTACTGACTTGTGTTCTTCGGCGGTGTTGACTTTGAATGATCTGGGCACTTTAATGGTGAAATTGCACCAATTTAAATGAAGGAACAGATAAAATGGATGTTTAAAGGGAAATTTCTCCTATTCAAATGAACATAAAGGATATTTTACACTCATGTACTGCTTTTTAACAAAGCTCCTTCAAGATAAGCACAAATAAAATCGATCTCACACATCTGTGCCACAGGAAATAATTTTTACCTGTAATTTAAATTTTGAGGTAAGGAGAAGTTAAGCCATTTTTTTTTCCAATTATTGTGTTTATATCTATTTTTTGGCATGCTTGTTATAGAAGATGGCTGAATATCTCTCAGGTATGTTGCCTTTTCTATGTGTGTCCTGAGATGGTATGGGTAGATGTTTATGAAATGTTAACTGCTCCATCTCCCACCCAAGAAAATGCAATGAGACTTTTTTGGATATGGACTCTGACACTGTTTGCAAACATTTTGCCATCTCTTGTGTGTATTTAACCTTTCTTCAGTGTTATGTTTCTCAGCAGTCAAGTGTGATTAAGCAGTTTCTGCCCTCTCCTCTCAGTCTTTTGTAGATGTATTCAGTGGCCCATCAACTCCATGAAATACAAAAAAAGGCTGTTCACGCTGCTGGGAGCTTGCCTGATTTCAGCACAATTTGAAGACAACTATCTGCATGCTCTCAGGGGCAATGTAGGGGTGTCTCCGTTACTTATGTAGTCTCTTGAATGCACTGCTCTTTCTGGATTGCCTCGTGTGTCCATTTTGCAAACTTGGTGTGACTTCAGGGCTCGTTTCCACTAGCTGAAGGGCAGAGATGGAAAGGGGGAAAGATGGTCTTGAAAGCAGTGATTTGCTTTCTTACAGCAAAGATCAAGTCTACCCTTGACAGGGGTGAGGGCAGAGTATGGGTGACACCACCTGCTCTGAAGCTTTGGTCTTTGCCTCCCTATTTGCACTAGTGTGATTGAGAAGAATATATAGGATTTTAAATTTTACCTTCTCGCTTTTTTGCAAACCTAAGAATGACTGTATTGGTCCCTGCCCTCCTCTTACTGAAATCGCCTGTCATTCTGCCTGTTCACAGGGAGGTGCAGCTCCACTCTCCCCACTCTCAGATGGGGGAAGAGATCAAATCAGGGATGCTCCAAGGACTGGAACCAAATTCTTGACAGTGATTTGTATCTCATAAACATGATATCACAATATGGCATCTAGTACATATTCTGCTTCTTTGTTAAATGAAGGACATGAGGAAAGAGGGGTTTTTTTGTTGTTTCTGTTGTTTTGTTTTGGTTTTTTAAATTTCTTGCTCTTTCTGCTGCTTTTGATTTGAGCTTTCGTTAGTACCAACTTTGAGGAAGGTGAGAAAGGGAAGGGAATCCTCCAGAGGTTGCACAAACAGGAGAAAGAGTAATTTCTTAATATCCCTCGCCAAGTAGAGATAAGGCTGACCAAACCCCTGCTGACAGCAGGCTCTGCTTTCTTTCCACAGTCTCCATTGAAGATATTCGGGATGTGAGGTCAGGCCATAAAACAGAAGGTATGGAAAAATACGCCAAGGATGTCCCAGAGTATCGCTGCTTTTCCATCATTTTCAAAGACCAGCGGAAAACCCTGGACCTCATTGCGAGTTCAGAGGATGATGCCAACCACTGGATCTCCGGCCTTGGGAAAATCATAGCCCACAGCAACTCCATGAACCAGAAACAGAAACTCCAACAGTATCCTTTGCCTTATAAAGTGATTAATCACACACAAAGATGCACTTGTCTTTCTCTGTGGGTGGAGACAGTAGACTAACCCCCTTTTTTCCCATTGGCTCTGGGCACTGAGTTTTCTTTTGCACTGATTTTGCACCCGGGCAAACTCCCTGGTTTCCAATGCTTTTTTCCCCTGTTTTACAGCGATACAGGCAAGAGTGGATTCAGGCTTCACATAGCTCCTTAAGCAAAGAATTGCCTCTTTCAGGGAGCTCCAGATAAAACAATCATTATTTTTTGTATTTTTCAGGGGTCTCTTTCACTTGCATTGCAGTAAACTGCAGGTCAGGCACTTCTTGGCAAGGCATGAAAAGCCTGTACTGTTTACCATGTTTCTCAGTAATACAAGGCGAGGGAACTGATTCTCCTCTTCTGACTGCCAAATTTACTCTGGGGTAGCTCCACTGACTTTAGTGAAATTACTACTTATTTGCCTCAGCATGGGCGGAAGTTTTGCCCTGAAAGAATTTGCGATTGCTCTAGTGACAATGCAGACATCTGAAAGGAAAAGTAGCAGAGCAGAAAATGAGTGAATTAGTTGTGAAATGGAGAGTGAGTTAGTTATCAGGTGAAATCCTGTCTCTTCTGAATTCGCAGGGAATTTTCCCCAGAGCTGCATTTCACTCAATAAGTTGCTTTGTGACCACAGGTCTCACATACGTATAAAAAGAGAGAATATCTTTGGGTGCAGTTTTAGATGGATTTTCTGCAGTCCCCGTGTGTCTGAGGCTCTAGCTGTGACATATGAACCTGTTGGCCGATTTCACCCTGATTTGACAGAGCCACAGCTGTCATAAAATACTAAGTTCCTTTAAGCTTCACAAAAATAGGCATCCAGCTATCAGAGAGGAAACCAGAAAGTGTTCTCAGCGAGAGAAGGCTGCCTGAGCTTCATGCCTTTTTCGATATCAAAGCATCTGTGAAGAGGAGGGGAGATGCAAAATCCTCAGCTGGGGAAAATCACAAATCTGGAGTCTGAGCCTGAGCAGGCACCGGGGAGTCTTGCCCTCAGTCAAGGCTTAACTCCATATGGGTTCCCTGCTGGGTAATAATGTACTGATGATGAAGCACGTAAATGCTGAGCTTTCATCAGGGCTTACTCTTCTCTGGATTCTCTGAAGTCTAATAAGCACTCGCACAACCATAGTGCTGTTCATTTAAAGGAATCAGACTCCATTAGTTCTGATGTGCATGGGATACTGTGTTTGTCTCCTGCGCTAGGAGTGTCTTTTTGGATGGTTTTTCAAGCTTTAGGCTGTAAGGTCATTCCTCAGCAGTGTTATCAGTTGTGCATCTGTGGTGGTAGGGAGCAGTCCCTAGACAAGTTGAAATCTTGAAACTGTGGTGCTATTGGAAATGTTGCACCCTGGCAGTTTTCCTTTTAAATGTGAAGGCTTCCCCTACCCCAGAGTGTGTGGGGAAGATCTGGGCTACAGAAAGTTGTCCCTGGAGCATGTCAATTGAATATATTGCTGAAAAACTTCTCCATAAGAAGAGACAAGATTGCTAAGGGGGGAAAAATAACAATGACATTTGCAAGGGAAGAAGGCTGTAAATTTCCAGTGTGGAAAAGTCCCTCTCTGTCTTTGGAAAGCAGAATCGAAGCTAAATAGGGTGGGTAGGCAAGCCATATTTCTGGAATAGTAATTACTGTGCAATGCTGGCTTCCAATCTGCGATTGTCTCAGGCCGTTTAACGTAACCTGGAATTACAGAACAGCATGATTTCTCATTTGAAATTTGATGATGTTTAATTAAAGCCTGGCATTTTAAATTTAGTCTGTCTTCACTGGGTTTGCTTGGCAGCGTGGGCTTACTCAGATCTTCCTTAAACCTCAGAAGTGTTCTCAACATCTGTGAGCATGGAAGGGGAAGAGTTGGTAGACAAGTAAAAGTATTGGGTCCCCTGCCTGTCCCCCTTGACTGGAGAATTGCCTTGCAGCATATCTTTTCCAGCCTCCAAAACTGCAAAGCAAGTAAAGAATAAGCAAGATTTTGAAAACAAGTGTTGAAAGCAAAAACCTTGCTGGTTTCAGATGGGGTCTGTTCAGTTTATAAGATGATGCAGTTGCCTGTGGTAGCCAGGGTCTTATGTGTCCTTTCCAGTCCTGTATTCTTACAAAGATAAAAATCCCATACGTCTGATGAGTACTTCTGATGTTCTTATACATACAATACTGTTTTATTAAGCCTTAGATTCAACCCTTCAAGGTTATTTAGCAAATAACCTTCAAGGTTATTTAGCAAATATTGCAGGTATGCATGCAGGGAAGACTTCAGACCAGAATATACGGGGGACTTTTCATTTCAGTAGTGTGGCACCGTCTGCTTCGATACTGGGATTTATGTATGAGCTTTTCTTCGGGTTAGAAATCACTTACCAGAAGTTTTGCAGCATTTCTGTTCTGAGCGCATTCACGGGATATCTGCCAGATGGTTTCAGTCATCCCTCTCTGGTTTCTAATAGAAAGCTGGTAGCCCTGAAGCTGGCAGATCCTTTAAAAACAAGAGGTGGGAAGCAGGCTCCCTCTGGATGGATACAGGAATGGGACCAAGTTTTTCCCAGTCCACCCAGGCCCAAATAGGTGCGTAAGGTGAAAGGAAGACACACAACCAGGGCTGCAAAATGGTGTTTGTATCAGATGAGAAGAATTTAAGTTGAAGTGCTTAGTTCATCCAGCCCCTCTAAGCTCTCTCAAACCTGAGGGTGTCCAGATGCATGGGGAGCTTGGGTGTTGTGGGGACTGAACGCTGCTGTTTGCTGAAACAGTAGGCTGAAGTCCCAGTTGTCTGTAACCTCCTTTTTGTCTCTTTGCTGCTTGCTTTCGCAGCCAGAGGGCCCACTGTGTGCCTATGCTCTTTGTGAGCTCTCCGATTTCCCTCCTACGTTGTTCTGCCCCTCTGGGAGGGATATAACAGAAAAGCATCCTCCATTTGCAGGCAGGACCTGGGCATACTCTTCTGCAGATGCATTTACTGCCCACATGTTGCCTTCCAGAGCCGACTTTGGATATGTGCATGACTTCTGGGTGCTCATGATCAGTGGAAATAACTGCAGACTTTATAAAAAAGGTGGTTTTTTTGAGTGGTTAGAGCAAAAAGAGTAGTTTCTACACACAGTTAGTGTTATCCAACCCTGGTGCTCACCTCTGGCCGTGACAGACTGGATTTCCTCTTGGCTCGCTAGAGTTGCATGTTATTCCTGCCTGTATTTTTAGGGAAGGCTGTGAAGCGGAGCTGAGATGTGGGGGTTGAGGATGAATGGGTGGCACCACCATTGGCACCATGTTGATATGCTGAGCAGACGCTCTTTGGAGCACAGCTGGTGGAGGGGGTGTTCGCCCTGGGGTGGGTGGTGATGTGCTCCCAGCATAGCATCCTCTGCGCATGGGAATTTCTTGACTTGAACTTGGTTTTCTGGGAAGAATCAGTGCAAGCCACACCCTAGTTCAGGTCCCTGGAGTGTCCCTGGGAGCTGGGGAGATGTAGCTTCTCTTTATTTTGGTTCCCATGTCTAAAGAAGGAGAACATTAATATTACCAGGCTAAGACGGAGGCAGTGTGAGGTCGTTGCTGAGCACCTGCCAAGATTTTTAAAGACAGAAAGTTCAACTTTCCATGAGACAAACAATACTTACAAACAGTTTACACATATCTCCATAGTTTGGAAACATTTGAATGTAGTGGTAGCTGTGGTGAATACTCTATTCCAGGGTTATGTCTATAGCCCCTAAGACTGCCAGTTAATGCCCTTTTTTGGGGTTATTTTGAAAGACCTAGTCAAGATGTTATGATACGATATGCCTCAGCTGGAACTTGCTAATCCTGAGGTTTACTCCCCTTAACATCCAGATTGGGCATTTTAAAAAGATTTTTTTAGAATGAGTTTGAACCAATGCTTCCTATGCAAGATGTGGAAGATTAGATTTGTGGAGATCAAATTGTTACTTCAATCATTTTCCTGTTGAAAAATAGGAATTTTTTTGGATGACCTTTTTTATTTGACAGTAAAGCAAATTAGAAAGAATCAGTTCCATGATGCAAAAAGCATGGCTTTTTGTTGTTTAAAACTGCAAGGTATTTCCACTGTCTAACATTATTTTCCCAAGAGGCTGAAAGAACGTAGGAGACTCAGTTGAAATTGTCTGGCATCGCCTTAGAAAGCTCATTTTTTACAGTAATTACTCCAGATCGATAGATACACTAAAGTTATTAGAAACCAAGATCTTATGAACTATTATCACAGTACAATACAGTAATAGACCCTGTGCATTTCATGAGGGGAAGCCAAGACCCACAAGGTTTGGTTTGATTCTGCTATCAACAGAGTTCTTAAGACATACAGGTAGAAATCCCTAAAAAAAATACGGAAGATGAAGGTGAGTCTAAAAATTAATATCATGCTTCTTTTGGAGAAGCTCTGTTCAGTGTTCACCTTGATATACTAAATATTGATCAAATCTGTAACAATGATTTTACCGAGCTCCACTTGGGAGCTCTTTTCATCCTTCCTCTATCTCCTTTTAACAGACTGGAGCAGAATGCACTTTCTGTCATAAAAGGGAAATTGGACTGTTTCTGGCTGGGGCCAGAAACTCCTACAGGGTAAAGAGAGCTGATCCAGCCTTGGCCAGATGGTGAAAAGCTTCTCCCAGGCCATGATCGCTTTTATTACAGCACATTTTGCTTCTGCCAAAGCACCATTTTGCTCTTTCAGAGCAGAAGGTGAGATGATGTAAGCTGTTCAGTGGTAGCATGCTGATTTACAGCAGCTGGAGAGGTGGTTCAGAGTCTTTAGAAGATATTTCCCCACCACCACGGGCAGCAGAAGGGTGGTATTTAGGCTAGGCACTGACTTGGAAAGATTTCCTTACATCATCCTGCAGCTGGATTCATACCTGCCTGCGGAAAGCTGATAAAAACAAAGACAACAAGATGAGCTTGAAAGAGCTCAAGAACTTCCTGAAAGAAGTGAATATTGAAGTCAATGACTATCATGCCAAGGAGATTTTCCAGGTAATGACAGCAAGCAGATAAAGTATTTGCTTTTGTCTGAGGTCAAGGTCTCCCACAGCTTTCAGCTTTGATTGGAGTCATGAGCTAAAGTGAACTCCTAGCATCTTTTCTCTCACCAAGGAAGGACTCTCGGTTTTTGGTGCTTAGCAGAGCATATTTCTGTTAGGCCAGCACAGTGCTTTTGATGAATGTGTGCTAAGGTCTTTCTTTACCATTGATGCCCAATTTTGCCAGGATTCAGCGAAGATGAGATGCAAACATGGATAATGTGAGAAAAAGGGGAAAGCAAAGTTCAAGTGCACTTTTGTGTCCCAGGTGTTTCAGGAGTTCTGTGCTCCACAACCACATGTCAATGCCTAAGTCTGACTGAAATTGGTTTGGTTACAGTTATGAATCCATATCCTCCCCTTCTCAGAGGAGGAGGGTGCCAAGTGACAGGTGTAAACAAAAAGAAAGTGCAAATTAGGACACCCCCCCTCCCCCCAGATTAATGATAGTTACGTAACATTTCACCCAAGCCTGGACCAGCCTGGATGATTTAATAGCCCAAGGCATTCTGGTCAGGGACATACACTTATAAATTCTCAAGATTCGGCTTGCTGGCTGACCCTATGAGAAGATAAGAAAGGGATGAAAATTTCTCAGTTGTTGAGGTTTTGGTTTCTCTCTAAAGAAGCCTTTCTGGTGAGGTGAGATAAAACACCTGGATAATTTCCAAACTTCCATCCTGTCTGAAGCAGGATTTGAATTCACGGGTGTGCAGTTTCAAAAATGCTTTTACCGATCAGCGGTAAGCATGTGGGTGGCTTGGGGTGCCAGGCAGTAGTTTTCCTGCTCCTTCCTGTAAGCAGATAGCAGGGAAGGTTGGCAAGATCTCACTAGGACCTTCCCCCAAAGGAGGTACAAGTTTCCTAATCCTTGCTTTATGGAGGTCTCTCTCTCTCTGGTTACTCTGCAAGAATTTTGGGAAGGTCATCAGAAGATCTTAAAGAATTTCAGTTTGCAAAATCTTCCAGATGTACTGCCCACTCTGTCTGGCACATCCCATGCTTTATTCCCTGCTCAAGAAGAACCTGGAAGAATAGCAATAAAGCTAGGATTCCTCTGGTTGAGTTAGATGTCTCCAGTGCAGACATCTACATTGGAACTAGTCACAGAATCACATAATCACAGAATAGTCAGGGTTGGAAGGGACCTCTGGAGATCACCTAGTCTAACTCCCCTGCCAGAGCAGGGTCACCTACAGCAGGATGCACAGGATGGCGTCCAGGCGAGTTTTGAATGTCTCCAGAGTGGGAGACTCCACAACCTCTCTGGGCAGCCTGTGCCAGTGCTCTGCCACCCTCAAAGTAGTCACCAACACTTACGCTTCCTTTGCAGTCTGTGTAGGTCAAGCCAATAATGGAGACCGGGGTGCGATTCACTTCATCCTAAAGGATACATCTCACATATGTCAGATGAATCACTACCTACATCTTCAAATGTCTAAAATCTGAAAAGACACCCTTTATTTTAGAGGCGCAGCCTCCTCTTCATTCAATGAACCTCTTCTGCTATTGCAATAGTTACAGGGGAGCTCTAGGAGTGGAAACTTGATGAAGTTCAATTCTCTTTTTGCTTAAGGACTCCAAGTAATTACTAAATCTTGAATCAACCCATCTAAATGCAGGCATCTAGTTGAAGTACCCTCATTAGGCATATAATTGTTATAAGTTTCCTGTATAGCCACTGGAAAAGGTTAATTCAGATCTCTTGAGGGCTGAATTGCCTCCAGGAAAATTCTGTCTTGCTCCTAAAGCAATTACATTTTCAGTTTACATAATGCCTAAACTTAGATGGAGTGAGAGACATTACAGCATATTAAAAGGGTGATCTTTTCTGTCTTAGTGAGTTTTTCTTCATTTAGTCACAGGAAGGAAGGGTGATCAAGGATTCAAGAGAGAGCTACAGGGCATGTTCTCGCATTATTCTTGCTTTTCATCACCTAACTCTGTGTCCACATCTAGGTTTTAGACACACCTGAGTAAGACATATGCGATGCAACCAGGAACTGTGCAAAGCTCCTCTAATTGCTCACCTCATTTCAACCTGAATATTCATTCTGGTGCATCAGAAAGGTTCTGACTGTTTCTGGCAGGCCAAGGTTCCTTCGGGACTCATGGTTCATGCTCCATACAAGTGAGGTAAAACACAGTATTTTGGGTTGAGATTCTCTTTCTAATTTGGAGCTTTTGTAGCCCAAGCAGAAGGAGCTTACTTTTATACTGTGCATCTGATCTGCCCTGGAATATGACTATGATGCCAATGCTATTGACCTATTTCTGTCACAACATTTAATGGCCACTAATGAAAAAACTTCCCAAGGCACATAACTTATAATGCCAGTTTTCTAGAAGTAATATATCGTTTTCCCTGTTGTGTCTTAAAGAAAAGAACGTCTGTCATTCACAGCATCCCTGCAGCCCTATCAGTTGGTTTCCCTCTTTATATTCCTTTTCCAGTTGCTAAGCATTATGCTCAGCTTAGCTTCTGAGATCTGCCAAAGCCACAGCACAGAATCATAGACGTGCAAGGCAGCAAGGAAAAGACAGTTCCTGGACTGCTCAAACAGAATTTGAAGGTGTCTGTAGTACTGAGCATTTCACAGATTGTCCCATCCCTGAGATAAGCCCATAGCTTCTACCCAGCAGATTCTGAAGTCTGGACAAGTTGAACTTTTTGCTATCGGTTCAGTTTGTGAAATGCTGTGCATCATGATAATTTTATTTGGTTTTATATGTGCACCATAAACAGATAGTGAAGGACTCCAGTGGAAGATTTGCAGGGGATGGAAGTCCCTCATTATCATCTTGCTTGGGGCACTGCCAAAGCCACCATGGCCATCACTGAGCTCATTAGCAGAGTTAGGTTGAGATTTGTATGATGACTGGTTAAACTGCGACGTGCATTTTGCTCATAAAACCCAGGACAATGGCTCTATCATCTGTCATAAGAGATCAAAGACAGAAAACAATTTAATTCTTCTGGTTTGACAAGTAACCATCTGTCAGCTAAGTCATTGTAAATGATAGCAACTTGTCCCTTAGCAAGGGTGAAATGAAATGCACCACAACGTCCCCTGAGTGGCTTGGAGCACACTTTCTGTTCCAAGTTCAGGCCTGAAGAAGAGAAGTTCTTAGGCCAAAGACTAAGTAAGGCAAGACATGTCCTGCAGAGGTTTGGGTGTCCATGCCGAAAATGACATTTTTCAAACTTACCTGAAATGTAAGATGTGAATGGGCTGTATGAGATGAGGACACCACTGTTAAGGGTCTGTTTGCTTGCTTTAGATATTGAGGGAGAGAGATTTATCATAATAACAAGACATTAACTAAAAGGGGGTTGATTGCTGAAATATGCAGGGAAAACCACTTGGAAGAGGTATAACGCTCCCTGCGCATAAGTGATTCCTTTGAGATAGGCTCATGCCTTCCATTAAAGCTTCTTTTGCTCAGCCCAGAGATGACTGAAAAAGTTATTCACCTCTCCATGAAGCATTCTGCTAGGAACAAACAGCAACATTCATATCAGGATCTGCCCTGTAATTTCTGATGAAAAATTTAGTCTGGGGATATTTTAAATAAACTGGAAATATTTGTTGTTGAAAAAGTTGTTGTCCTTCATGGAGACACTAACATGTGTACCTTAAACTCCTGATCTTTCATGGTCAGCCAAGTCCTTGACTGGTTCTCTGTCAGAGCTGTTATCTAGTGGAGAAGTTCAAACCACAGAGGAACACAGGGGCATGAATTACACCTCTTCAAGAATCTGATATCTGATTTGAAATTTTGTGGAGATTTTGTTACTCAGTGGATTTTGGATAATAATGGAAAACTTCCATGGAAAGGGATTTTTTCATACTTAAATATGCACGTTTAGCAGGATTTTTTTAAAGTTGGTTTTGTGCAACCAGCCCCGCTACTATCCTTGGCAGTCTCTTGAGGCCTGAGCTCAGACCCACTAAGGTCAAGGGGAAGACCCTTTTCACTTTACTTACTGGATTTTAGGCCGCGGTCTCTATCAATAATTTAAGATGCATTGAGTTAATTGTTTCCCTATATCCCTCCGCCTCTTGAGATCGAGAATTACATTTCTCTTGAGCCTTGATTTGTACTTAGATTGTCTTGAGCGGTCCTTCTAATTTACGGTTTGCGCAGCACGCAGTGGAGCTCATGGCCATGCTTGGTGCTTTTCAGCATGCTGATGATATGTGTAAATAATAATAATTGTAACTGTTATATGACTGTTGGCCTTGTCGATGAGAACCATTGTCATTGTCCAAGTGCTTCTCATTCACTGGCCAGTAACTGTTTCCAATTATTTTGTGTTCTGCGTTGTGTAGCCCTGGTGCAGATTACGGCTGGCATATGCCAGAAGGAAAGAAGGTTTTCACTCCTTCTCCCCTCTACGTTTACAGCACTGTGACAAGTCCAAAACAGAGGCTCTGGAGGATGATGAGATAGAGGAATTTTACAAGATACTGACAGAGAGGAAGGAAATAGACAACATCTTCCAAACGTACTCAGATGAAGAAGGGTTCATGTCCTGCCAGAACCTGGTGAGGTTCCTCTATGAGACGCAGCAAGAAGAAGATGCTGTTGTTGCTGCCCCTGCCTTAATTCAGAGATATGAGCCCAATGAAAGAGGTAGGTTGGAAACCCTGGCTGCTTTGATTCAAGATCTTGCTTTCTTAATGAACTATAAATTGCTTTGCTGCTGCTTTCTTCTGCAGCCTTGTGTGTCATTTTCTCCTCACAGCTGCTTCTAAAACACTAGTCTACTAGGGGAGCATTAGCAGCTCTAGGAGAGGAGGGCACAGGAGAGCCTGGCAAATATTTCTCTTCAATTTTGGCTTGGGTACACCGAGCAGCTGGAGAGGGGTTGATACAGAGTTGGCTAGAGGGTCATGAAATTCCTGAGGGAAAGGCTCTGATGGCGTATTCAAATGCCAAGACCTCACATGGCTTTGCAAGGTTAAGAATGTAGCAATATTTCTGTTCTCCAAAAGCAGAAATGGAGGAAGATATTTTTGAATGTGGGCACCTGAAAAGTGATGAGACATCTGAGTAGGGGGTCAAGAAGGTGACAGCTGTTTAGGAGAGCAATCACAGAATTGTCTGCTTAGAAATTAAGTGAATTGCCAGTCTGGACCACCTTGCAGGACGTGTTCAAGAAATGAACACGGGATCATAGGCTCTTTTTGCACTATCCTGGTATACCTTCAGGAGAGGGACAATGCTTTGCAGATGTCAGACTTGGGATTAGACTGAGATCTAGCTCAGACCTTCAAGATGGGGAGATCTCAATTTCTCCCCAAAGTTAGGTAATTTTGCATTTACTCTTTGCAAATCATGTGTTCATTGGATTATGTAGACAGGATTTATCTGGCTATGTTTAGACATCTGACAGCTTCTCTGTGTTGGTGAGAAGGAAGCTTGGAGTGCTCAAATGGAGACTTTTATACTGTAGCTCTCTAGAGATGGGTGAGGTAAGTGCTGCCTTTGACACTATTAGGGTCTTATGAAGGACAGTAAATGTCATAAAAGGCCATGCTTGGTGAAGGGGTTTTAAAGGCATTTTCAGGCAGATGAAGCTGTCATTATTGTCTGAACAGCATCAATATCTTTACTATTAGCTGAATGCATGGGGAGCGTGTTTTGCCTTTGAGATCCTCTGGAGAGCAGCAAGCATTATGGTGAAGACGATGGTGGTGTCAGATTTTCAGTATGGACTTTCTGTCTATTTATGTGGCAGCCAAGAGGGGTAATGCCATGACCAAAGATGGTTTCCTGATGTACCTGCTGTCTGATGATGGGAATATATTCAACTCCTCTCACCGTAAAGTTTACCAGGACATGACTCAACCTCTCAGTCACTACTTGGTGTCATCCTCACACAATACCTATCTTATGGAAGACCAGCTCACAGGTCCAAGCAGCACAGAAGCCTATATCAGGTAATGTATGTGTCCATGTATTTGTGTGTGTTTATATGTGTGTGAGAGATTGACCTCTTTCTTATAAAAGACGTAAGGTGCATCTATACTGCCACATGAGGAACAAGAAGCAGTCTCCCACCCTGAGACCAGGTAATGTGGGCTGGCCCATGTTCCCATCAGGGTGAGCTCTTTCTAGACCAGGTTAGCCATGTGCCCCTTTTCATAGCACTTTGACCTGGGTCTCTGCTGGGCCCCATGTGGTGTCCACCTGACTGTACCATGTATAATTACTACATTTGGAAGTAGTTTACAATATCTGCAATCATGTGGAGGCTGGACTGCACCCCTCTAGCAGGGTGTTTTTAAATCATGGTGCTGAGGGAGATGTTGCATTCCCCAGAATATGGCATGAGAGAGTGCAAGGAGCTTACAAGGTACAAAGATGTGTGGGACAGAGCTGCAGGACTGTTTAGGGACTGGAAGGAGCCAAAATGATGCATACTGTCATGATGTTTAATCTGTACTGCCTTTTAGGAGTAGCCCCTGGCATGGACTATCCCTAGAACCATGCTGGGTTTATTTTGGAGACATAGTTGGAGCGGTCCTAAACAAGAGGTGGGATGTGAGCTAATGAAGGAGTGTGGGTGATCAGGAAACTTATGCCTGGTTCCTCTTTAGCAGCTCAGGTGCTTCCACAGCATCACTGTACAGAACAATAGGTATTGCCTACTTCTGCCTTTAGCAACGACTGCTGTCTGATGTCTCACGAGCAGATGTTTGCAGTCACCTTTACTAACTTACTCAATCATCACACATTACTTCTGCTAAGACCTGTACTTTTGTCAAGTGAGACAGTGCGTCCTATAAGCAAGCCAATGACTGCAGTTCTGTTTTTGTTTATTACTTACCTGATTCTCAAAGGACAATGGCTGTCAAGAGTCGTAAGCTCAAAGGAGTAGAAAGTGAAGTCTGGCACAAGTTGCTTTTCAGTAGCTGTTTGAATTCCTCTTACAGTATCTTAAAATTACAGAATTATATTTTAGTTGTAAAAAGAAATAAATCCATGACTCTTATTGCAATGCGTTAAAGGAGTTGTGTTATCTGAAATGTATAGGGAGTTACTGTAAAAGAGAAATGATCACATGCTAGACAGATAAGTCTGTACAGGGGGAACCTACATTTGAAAGTAAATGAAAATGAAAGTACAGATCTGTAGAAGTGAGAGTTTCAAGTGGAAATTCAGTCTGTAGACTCAGTTTGGGAAACTGGCCCTCAGCAGTCTCCCTAGCTGTGGTGAAGTTCTCACAGCTCCCTTCCCAACAGCTCCAAGGATTCATCTCTCATGTCTTATCTGATCTAGATGAAGAAGTCCCATCATTCAGGCTTTGTGACCTGGCTTCAAAGGCTGACTGTCTTACTACTGTCTGTCTTCCAATGCAGCCACTCTTAATTTTCTCTTCTCTTCACCATCTTTGGGAAAAGACTTGGGGCGCAGTCATGAGTGTCCTTTCTCATCTGGCACTCATTATGTCTTCTTCTTTGGATAATTCTTACCTTGGACTTTCACTCTCTCCTTTCTCAGATCCCACCCTGCTTTCCTTGCTCAACCTTGAGCTATCTTTGCTGACTCTGAGCTCTCCCAATCCCATCTTTTCTCCATCTGCTTTCCTGTTTTTCCAAGCTCCTCCTTTCTCCCTTGCTCCCTAAATTTCCCGTCAGCCTTCCCAGGCAATACCTGGTGCCTGATGTACCCTCAGATGGAGCAGAAGGTTTAGAACCCAACCAGGTCCCTTCTTTGTTTCCAGAGCCCTCACCAAAGGCTGCCGCTGTGTGGAATTGGATTGCTGGGATGGCCCTAACTCGGAGCCCGTCATTTATCATGGCTACACTCTCACCTCCAAGATCCTCTTCAGTGATGTCATTAAGGCCATCAAGAACTATGCTTTCAAAGTAAGGACAAGGGACCCGCTAAGAAGGCTCATATTGCATAATCCAAGACTGATAGGTCTCTGCCCTCCTAGTAGAGAGCATAAACAATGAAGACTTCATCTTAGCATTTCTCATGGGTACAAGATGTGTCCTTCTGTCTGGGAATCCATGCTCTGCTTTCTGCAGAGATCCATTCCTGGGAGTTGCTGGACAGGCAGAGCGCTATCTGAGGATGAGTTTGAATCTATCCCAGCACAGCTGCATCCTGGACCCCACTGCAATAAAATAATACCCAGTATCTTGAGCATACCTGGTGGGAAACGCAAACAAGCCCATGACTTGTGTGGCTTTGATGTCTCAGGGTCCAATCCTAGTTTAGAGGAACCCATGCCCGTGTGTTTTGGAGGGACTGATGCAAAGGACTGCTTCTAGTCTGCTTTAAAAGGAAACTCCAGAACAGGTCTGGAGTTTTCTATGGCAGTGCTGGGCCAGCAGCCTTTAAAAAACCTTGGGTCTGTCCAGATTCACTGGGCTTTCTGCTATTTTCCTTCAGTGCACTTGAGAGCTAGTATCAAGTTTCCTTTGGGGCTATAAAGCCGTGACAATGACAACACCTTCAGCACACAAAATGACTAGGGGGTTCCACAGGGAACCAGATAAGGCCTATGCACGAATGGAGGAAGGATTCATGTCACCTAAGGATTTGAGCAAACCCAGTGATTTCAAAACCTCCCTTCCCAGTCTCCTTCTTCTGAGGAAGGAAGGTGCTCCGACCCACAGTGCCAGTGGCGAGTAGAGGCACGGGGAGCCTCACCAAAGTGCCCCAGCAAGTCTCTGGGAAGCATTCTGACCCGGCCTGGTGCCCTGTCTCACTCATTTCCAGAGAAAACAGCACTGGGGTTTATTTCAATTGCTATAGAATGGTGAAATTGCAGAGCTCACGGATGATGTATGTTGCTGTCTTGTTCTAGACCTCACCATACCCTGTCATCATCTCCCTGGAGAACCACTGCAGCGTTGAGCAGCAGAAGGTCATGGCTCAGCACATGACGACGATCCTGCAGGACATGCTCTTGGTTGCCCCAGTCGATGGAAACAAATCCCAGTTCCCCTCCCCAGAGGTAAGCAAGTCCACTCTAACACTTTCTGCCTTCTGAGGTGGGGACACGAGAGAGGTCTCTCTTCTTGCTGAGTGCCAAGTAGCGGACAATATGCCCGAGGACTGGTGGGAACTGCAGTGGCTGAGGAACAAAAATGGTCTGTGGGCCATTTTGGTGGAATAAGAAATGGGAGTATCTAGAAGTAGCCCGTGCACATCAAGCACAAAATGCCCTCTTGCTCCTTATTTGTTATCTATGGTCTCAGAGGAGACATCCCTGCAGGACTGAAGACATTCCTGGTCCATTTATCAAGGCCAGGGAATGTCTTCATCCCATGAAAAGGTTGCTTTTCTGGCTTGTCCCAGAGGAGCTCCCCGCCTCCCTTTAATGCCTTGGGTGCTCTACTGTGGATTAGCAAGTGATGAGGGCTGGAAGGACAGCTGTGATTGCTTGCCCCTCAAAACTCAGGGGGAAAACCAGTACAGGTAGCCTAAAACTGTATCCAGCACAAAGTGTCCTCCCACTGCGAATGGCCTGGGGTGGTAGGGAAGGAGACGTCCATGGAGTGTAAGGGGAGGCAGGAGGCTGCACAGAGATGCCCCTTTGATTCCCATGAATCTGGGCAGCCATGAAGCTGGGAGCTGAGCTCGGACCCTGCTGGGAGGAAGGAGATATACAGCCCTCAGTAGTGGACTGCCACTGTAAAATTATTAGATGACAATTAAAAAAATTTGGAAGTGGAATCTTGATATGAAAAAAAAAATATGTTTCCAAAACAGAAGCCAAAATGAAACATTTGTCTGTTTCTGCCCTTTGGGTTTGTGTTTTCTTTCTTTTCTCTTAAGCACTTTGCAGAAACAGACTTCTGTGTGGATAGCTGCCGTCCCCTTTAAATTGCATTTCTTTGCTAAAGAAATTATTTGCCAAAAATTGGATAAGCATGCCTAGCCAGAGCTGGAAGCAGTTTGTGGGTGGGATAAAGCTGGCAGTCAGCAGGGGAGAAAGGAGAGGAAAACGTTCCACTCAAAATATCTTCTATATTTGTTCTCCCTCTCCCTTTTTCTCTTTTCCCTTTCTGACTTTCTGCTTTTGTTTGGGAGTGTCATGCCTTGCTTGATACAATGCCTAGCACAGAGGGAAGCTGATCTGGGTTGGTCCCTAGGCACTAGTGCAATAAATTAGGATGAATCATAATTTTTAATGCTGCTGCTTCAGCA